AATCTACATAAGTGCCAGTTTATCTTACTATGCTGGCTTGTAAACTGCAGCAATTGAGCAGTTGCTTCACGAGCAGCTGAACCATCCCAGCAGTGGAAACAGTAATCGCAGCCCTCTGAAGATAAGCCACCCTGGATCATTAATCAAAGTCCTTTCAGAAGCTATAGAAAACTCCCAGCAATCTGCACTCCACTCCGCTGGGCATAAGTACATCCACAGCTAGGAGCACATACAGCATGCCAGTCAGGATACTGCACAGGTTGACTGCACTTTTTCTTTTGAAAAGCACAGATTAAGCAGATATAATGAATTTTCCCATATTTCCTGTAACTAGATATTTACTGTAACTAAACAACTGTCAAGAGGTTACAGGCAGTAAATGAGACACTAACAATAGTCATCAACTTCAGCCTTTAAATAACAGGTGGTGTTAAACCAATAACTAATGTATATCACGGGGCTCAGTAACTTCTAAGAAAAAAATCTCTTATGTGCAGATACCTGCTCTGTTACTCAGTTCTTCCTTGCAGCAAGAGATTTTTTTCCCCCACTGTGAACAGTATTCTCCCATACGGACTTCTGTAGAGATCAGAAAGACTGCACCCTTACCTATTTCTGTTCTATGAGCTGCATTTACTGTGCAGCTTGAAAGCTGCTGAAGGAGTATGGCTGGCCCTTTGTAATAAATGCAGAAGCGCTAATCCATGTCTTCTATACTACACAGTTTCCAAACGTTGAACGAATCATGCAGCTGAAAAAGTAAGTTTGTGGAGGAAGATACTGAAGTCAATACTGAAAGAAGCAACAAAGAGACACCTGGGAATCAAAGTCCAGCACCATAGTGGAAATCACAGACAAGGTTTGAAGAGTCCCAGACAGCACTGTAAGTTAGCCCACCTCAGTGCATTGCTTAAGTCTCTGCTGTTATCGGCAAATTTGCATGTCTCTGACCTGTCAAAACTGATAATCTAAACACTATATGGGATGGAAAAAGTGTTTTCACATACAAATATTAAATAAGAGAAATTTAAAAAAACTATACTCCTTGCTGCAAGTGTCAGAATTGGCAAAGCCAATAGCACTGCGGTTTTTTCAAGGCATTGACGCTGCTGATGTAGAGGGACCCTACTTGATTAAGGAATAGCAGTTTGGATTACTTCCAGTAAGCCCTTTTCAAAGGATTATCAACATGTAGCAAGATGACCAGGTTCTGTAATCAAATTTCAGTGAGTGAATAAATTACTTAACAGAGTGGTCAAAGCAAGCAGCCTCTCCCTAGGACTCAGTACTTAAAGAGTAACAGCTATGTCTCTGTAAAGTCCAGATAGCAATTATCCTCTCTATATAGTCTCCATAAAGTTTTCCCCACACTCAGGATTTAAATACTCCAAAACCTTGCTACATTATTAATACAATAGCCATGGGGACTTGGTCGCGCAACTCCCATTGAAAATCCAAGCCATAGTCCAGAAACACAAGCTTTTCCAGAACACACACATAGGCTACTGCCACTCAGCAACACAGTCTTTCCCAATTTATAAACTATTACTTCATTATTTGACTGTCATTTATCATCCACCTCTCAGACAAAAGGGAGAGATGGTATTCCTTTTCTACACAGTATTGCGAGACATGTGGAAGGGGACGTTTGTAAAGAACAAGACTACCATGAAATTCTCTGAAAGAATTCTTCCTAGGGGGTTACATCCATAACTAGCAGTTATCAGAAGTACAGTTTCTAACTGGTACTCCAGTTAACCAATAAAGCATTACTGCTAGTTTTTATAGTGCCAGGCAGGAAATGCCATGTTAGAGAGGAACGTACGTACCTCACGCTCAGCCTGTAGAAGCCCATTTCTGATTAAGTAAAAGCCTGATGGCAATAGCTGCTACACTCCAATACTCTACCTTCAAAAGCATATCGTATTTTGACAAAGAATGTTGTACTTTCTTTTCTGCCAGCAGAAAGAAGAGATTATAATTCTAATTGCTGTAACAATATCATTTGCCAGCAACTAAAAAAAAACTTTTGCACAACCCATATTCAACCAGAAACTTAAATGCCTGCAGAGCTCTGTTATTTTTAAGAAGCAAAGCAACTGTCAGTGAAGCAGTCATTGTTGAAGGTACCAGCTGCCAACACATACTGCTTGTGTTCAAAAGCCTCTTTGCACTTACTTGGAGAACCTCTCCACAAGAGCCGATGACTTATTCTTGTTGACTAGAGAAAGCTCTTTGGCAGTGATTCTCAGAGACTGTGAAATCCATTGTCTTCTGTTAAACGGGGAGGGCTCCATCTTACACCACGAATACCTACTCAGGAAAAAAGTAAAGCATTAATCAATATGAATTATTTGAGCTGAAAAGCGGTTTCACAAAATGATTCAACACTAAGTCATCATTCAGGTGTCCTAACACCTGAATGTTGCCACCATGTCTAGTCATTCAGGCTCTTGTGTATCAACTGGCTAAGAAAATGAAATCAGATTAAAGTTGCAATTTCCTCTGAAGATGCCTTTGAGATGGTCTCCTTGATAAAACACTAGCCACAACGTAAGGGGTAAGAGAGAAACTGTAAGCCAGCGCAGCAGTGAGAAGCAAGCTGTGATTGAAAATGATGCTGATGTGAAACTCTATTTCTTTAACCCACACAAACACGCACACGCTCCAGGAAGCCCTAATATGCCCTCTCTTGTTCTGGCTTCTCAACCAAATATGCTGGCATTTATGTAAGAAGGCTAGAGTTATGAAACCTAAGAGGATGTAATTCCTATGCAAACATTTTTCATTTACCCTTGTGGTGTTCATTCTTAACGCAGCAGCCGTTTCCTTTGTGAGCTGAAACAAGTCTTCTGTTCAGGGAGGCAGCTGTAAACCTCATGTTGCAATAGCTATCAGTTACCTAAAGGAATAGTTTTAACTAGCCTGTACTGCTGTAAACTGGAACAGATTTCGTACAGCTTTTCACCACAGAAGCCAACAAGACTATATCAGATTTTTTTTCTTTACACACTTGGGTTTTTTTTCGTGGAGGAGGAAAGGAGGAGAGAGTAATTTAGAGTTCTTTGATAAGACCAAAATATAGCTAGCGGGGCAACGCCTTTCCTTTTTTCCTCTTTTCTTTTATCCCTAGTCTCATGTCACACAATGCCTGTGGCAAGTGCATTAACTGATCCTACAATGCTCAGATCAGTGAGGCTGATCTCTTTCTCATTTTTTCCATCAATTTCTTTGACTAATTTGCACCAGTAGGTCACAGAACTCTAGAAGTCTGAGCACAGGTACGCACATCGAGACCATTAGTCACACTTTAAATAGGAGCACATGAGGAAAACTTGGTAAGAACAGTCAATCGAATATAGGGAAGACCCTGTTTCTGAAATCCTCATACGCATATAGCATAATTGCTCATGAACGACAAGGACTCGGGCTTCTATAGTGCCTGAATTCAAAAGAATTCAGGTAGCAGCAAGCAGAGCCTCACTGATTCTGTGAGCAATGGGATCAGAAGTACCAGGGAAGTGGGTCCGCCAGGTGCCCGCTTGTTGCTGGAACCAGAGGACTCTCTAGTGCTGCACCCTGCTGCTGTGTATACATAAAACAAGGAGCAGATTAACATTTTGCTGTCCTGGTGGACATAATCAGGAAGAAGGTGACTTTCTCTAACGTTCCTTCATTCACCTGATGTAAATGAGGGAATGAGGCACTGTGCCAGTACGTGTTTTTCAAGACAATGATTTAGATGGTACATTTAGATGTACGGATTGAATTATCCTGGCAAATAATAAAAGTTACACTATTTCTGTTGTAGCGTTGAAGCACACTAAAACCACTGTTCAATTTTATGTTTCCAGTTGCAGCTTATGGCAGCTTCAGATTCGCATCTTCTACTTCAGGCAGTCTCTAAAATACTTCCGTTGCCCCTTCCAACTGGCAATAGTAACTTATGTAGAAGAGTTACTTTTTGAAATTCAGTTTCCAGCAAACATTTTGTGTCCTTCAGTTGCCCTCATTCTATTAAGCTGACTACTTTTGCCCAGATCTACTAGACTAGAAAAAGGATGCTCTCCATCTTGCAGTCTCAGAATAGTTACCAATCTTTGCCAATTGCACAAATGATCGTCCAAGAGGAAAAAGGGCTCTTCTAATTAGACTATAAAAGGTGCACTCATTTTTTCCTCACTTTTTAAAGCATATTATACATGCAAGTAAATAATTTCCGTGATTATAAAATGTAGTCCCTTTTATCAATGTTCAGTAGCCAACACTTAGCATATAGATTTAATAAAGCCACACAATACATACACAGAGATTATAGATTATATTTACGTCTAAAAAAATATTTCCATGTTAAAAAGAAAATCTGAAACAGCTGTGTAAAGCTACAGATTAGACTTTTGTTTTAAGATTAATCTTGAGTCAAGAGATTATCTGAGGCACCACTTTGCACTTCAAATTGTCCTTTTCAAAACAGAGTCAATTTTGTACGGGAAGCAGTAGAAGGCACTTACAGGAAGAGCCCCTTGGCAGAGAGACCAGGTTGCCAATTGACACGCACCTGACACAGAAGGACAGGTTGAACAACAAGACAAACAGAAAGCAAAAGAGAAAGAGAAACCTTTCCCGGCGCCACGGGCTTCCCACCGCAGCCGATAGCGACTGCTGTTTTCTGGATGCATTTTTTTCCCCTGTGGTATTTCTGCATTCCTGTTCAGTTTACCTACCGTTTTTTCCTTTTAAAGCCACAGGTACGTTAAGACAATCAGGACTGTCCTGGCAAAGATCTCTTTAAAGAGGCACTAGAACTTTCAAGTGGAAAGTTAAGTGGCTTATTTGGATTCTCAGTCGCTAGAAAAGACACAAAACAGAACTCTGAAGATGCCCAGAAACTTGCACTTCTACTTTTTTAAGGCCATCCCACATTCTCAGCACTTTCCCAAATGTTTATAGTTTCATCACGTTCAAGCACCTCTGTCCTTTTTTTGCTGCCCCTTCTGAATAATTTATTCCAAGTCATTTCAGGAAATAGTCCTTTATTGCAAGCATTAAAATTTAAACAAGAGCACGGACGTTCTGCATGTTGCAATAGAGACAGATGATGTTCAGAGCAGGCG